GTACATGAGATGTGTACAACTCGCTTTTGCTATTAAAGCCATTAGTAATTCAAAAAACGTTCATATTCATTTTTTCCCTTTTGTTGCGCGTGCATTTGTGTATGTTTTTCGGACTCCGACACTGAATTCAATAAATATGATAATAAATACGTAAATAAATTATTTTTCTATCCACGCAGCATCATATTCGATGCGCATCGACACCCAAATTGTCGTCATTTTGTTATTTGTCTATGTGAACTTGATTTGGATTCAAACAGACCCACACACAAAACAAAACTCAACCCGAATGGGAAACCATTTGAAATGGGTTCGGCGTGCATTATTTTATCAAACAAAATCGAATCGTTTATGAATATATCTATTTTTTCGGCATGATCAAAATAGCCGATGATATTAAGAAATATAGGAATAACCGACTCAATTTTCGGTCGGCATGTTTCTCATTTCAAGCACAATATATGCGATAAGCACAATGATTATATTCTTCTAATATCCATAGAGGCATACAGCACATACACGATTGTGTGACAATATTTTTTCTTTTAATATCCGGTAGTTTGATTAGAAAACTACGTGTGTCGTCTACAAAACGGCTCTTCCTCTTTTCTTCATTTTCCACATCATTTTGCTACAACTACATGCTACGAGTTGTATCAAATATCAAAGTTTCCCTTGTTTGCAAAAAGGCGAACTTCCCATAAATCCAATCATCGTTTCGATGCACGCTGCATACACACGAAAACCAAAACCATAATCATTACATCCAAACCCCCCCCATCCAAAAAAAACCCATCGGGGTACAGCATATGCTTGCAAAAGTTTCGATTAAAATCATTTTGCGACTAGATGACAATAGATAGATGAGGATACAGTGCTATATATGAAATGTGTGTTTGGGCTTGATTGAAATATTTTACAAATTTTCGTCCTTAAATTCATGTCAAAATATTAGATCACGTTTCACGTATGCTGCCATGATCCACAATGGTATATGAATGTGTGTGTGTGTGTAACAGAGTGAATGTGCCATTGTGTGTGCCTCATTTTCGTACTTCTTAAGTAGAAAAGCATTTCAGCCACATGTCACTCACAGCCATGTAATAACTAAAAAAGGAAAGACAAAAGTAGACACAAGACGATTTGAACACACAAGCTAGCAACAATTTTCCACCGATTATGCAAATTTTATGACAAACGAACATGAAACCGAATGAGAGCACACAAAGTCAAACAAATTATCCGACATTGTGCGGTGTATATGTATTTTTAGTTTGAAATATAAAGAAAAAAGAACAGAAATTAAAGCAAACAATAGCGCAATTTTGTGCTGGATGTGCGCAACAGCCAAAAGCCCTAAATAGATTCAATAAATAAATTGCAATTTAAATGAAACATCAAAAGCTCGTGCAAAGTCACGTAAAGTTTTAAATTAAATTCTATTTGTTTTGTTGAAAGGGCTTTCCCGGTCTCTCGAAAATTTATGTGGATTATGCGCAATTTTTGCAGCTAAATGAGAAAGAACATGCAGTTTTTTTTCAAAAATTACTTGCTCGCTGACAATTAACACGAAAATTATCCTCGGAAAACAGATGTCTGAGTGGGTTCGCAGTGTACAGTGGTAGCTGTCATTTGTATTCAAATGCCTGTTCTTTGTAGCATAATTACAATTTTGTGTGTGTGTATGTTCGAAAGAGAGAGTGGATATGAACAAATAAATTCCAGTTTTTATTTTCGGTATATATATGGAAGTTGACCAGTCTCGTCGTCGACGACAACGAACTCCTCTCTCGTTTTTTCTATTATGATCATTCTGAATCCAGTTTTTTGTAGGTTGTATGCGTCGTTGTTTGAGGCGACTTGCCATTCATTGGATCTCCATTGAAAGTCATTCACAGTGCTTGTGATCTAAATGATTTTCATACAAATAGGATGCGAATTAAACGGAGCTGATAGAAAGATGGCCATGTAAGATGCACATAGTAAATTGACAACGGCACATAGAGTTATTATAATAATCAAGATGAGAAAATGAGCCAATAATTTTTCATTTGAAAAGATACAACCAAATTGAAATGGACTCAACAGATTCCACAATACATCCGCACAAAAAAAACTGTGCGATTTTTTTATAAATCTTGGAATGCTTCGACCACATCTATATGGAATTGTTGATGCAAATTTTGTACTGTGCGAGTCGTTCTATGCTGCATCTCTCTTTCTTTAGCAATTGAATGTAGGTTGCACAATAAATTTCATTGTTAAATTTCAAAAAGAAAAAAAAAGCGGCAGAATTGAAATTGAACAAATAACGTCAATGCATTTTAATGAATTGATGACCAAATAACGACACAAACAACATTGGTTGTAAGTTTGTCTCTTCGCCAAGGCAAAATTGATTGCTTTTGTAAGTGAGTGTGTGTGTATGCATACAATGCACTCGACCAGTCAAATCGAATTCTCGCCTATTCTCGATGGTGGGTGTTTGAAACAGAGAAAATTATTTACACAAAACTTTGCACACCAAAATAAAATCGAAACCAAAACAAAAACGACACAAATAAATAAAATTTACATTTACAATAAATAAAACATTAACATAATAAAAGGAGATTGTGTCACATGAAAACGAATATTGAATCCAGCCACTTGCAAAACATATTGCAGCGCGTTTCAATTGCTCAAAATAAACTGAAACAATCGAGACTTTTCTCGTTTGAAAAAAACAAAAAATCAACAGCAACACACAATTTTATGTGCTTGTATTTCGTTCGTCTGTCAGAACGAATTGGCAATAAAAATTGATTTAGTTTTTTGAAACTTCCTTGAATGTTATTATCTCAAAATGAAACAAAAGAAACGCCTTGCAATTCAATAGAAACAAATTGGAAACACTCGCACACATTACATCGCAGCGTCTATTGTGCAAGTGAATAAAACAAGTAAATAAAGTATGTTTTCGTCGTTTTGTTTGGCATTTGAAAATCGGTATGTTTGTGTGTTCTTGGAAAAAGGGTTCATTATAAATTTCGTGTCGGTGTTTTGTTTTTTTTTTTACTTCATTTTTTTACGTAACAATATTTTGCTTTTGCAAATAAAAAGAAAATGCGTCTAAACAAAGAAAAAAGGGTCCCGTTGAAAATGCTGTTAACAAGATAACGGAAAAGAAATCCTTTCTTTACTCGGTAGTCGCACAGTGTGCGCATCGAATATATTTTAATATTTTACGTGAACGATGTTGTCTTGTTGTGTTCTTTTTGTCGACATAGAGAGTGTGTGAAAAATAAATACGTACAAAAGGGCTAAAAGTAACTGTTCAGACATTTTTTTGCGGAATGCTTGTGTTCCAATCGCCCGCTCTCTGTGTGAGATATATTACTGCCTTTTTTATTACACGTCAGAGGTTTTCTTTTTTGCATTTCACATAGGCATTCATTCCATTACACACGACAACATTTTGCTGCTACCTTATGCAATTTCTTTTTTCATTCTCTTATAATATTTACACACATACTTCCTTTCGATCTATTCACTTTGCAGATAACAACAGGAGTAAAATGAAAGTAAAAAAAAAGAAACAAAAAAGAAACGAACGCGCGCACCGAGTCGTTGGCATAATATAAAAGAAAGGTTTTTTCTCTTTTAACCGTAAATATTGTGTGTAATTTTTACGTTCTTTTAGTGGTGTAATGTACACCTACACACATCGACCTATACGATGTGATATGTGACAGAAAACGAAAGAGGGAGAGAGAAAGAGATATGCAGAATGAAGGCACAGAAGGAAGTATGAATTGGATGAAGAAGAAAGAAAAAAATTGCACATACTTCAGGTACATACCATATTCATGCTTTAAAAAGTGGAAAATTGTTCAATTGTATGTGCGTACACACTTGTATTGATGTGAGAAGCGTAATGTGTGCTGTTGCCATATAAATCGTAAAATGACAAAAAATTGTGACACATGCGAAGATTGACGACAAAACAAAGCTTTTTTTCCCGAACGGAATGGATATTCTATGAAAAAAAAAAACAACAATAATAAATCGAAGAGTGAAAAAATGGAATGAACACACCAACACATCTGAAAACGGGGCCATAAAATATCAAAAAGAAAAACCCTCAACAAAGGGAAAAAAACTAACGACAACAACGGAGCGCGAAAGAGTGCGACGAGAAAAGAAAAGAGTTGTTTATGGTGTGCATATTACATAATATAAATTATGTAATAAAGTTACCGTCGACTCTTTATTCGTTCTCTCTGTACAGGACACAAATTGTTCGATAAGACGGTAAATGCGTTTGTACCGTTGTGTAACGAAACCACTTTTCCTTCAATTCTTGACTACTTCTTTTTTCCTCTATCTCGTTTTTAGCTTTGCGAGTGAGTAAGAATGTATGTTTTTTCCATTGTTTTTCATTGTATTTTTCACCTATTCGAAAATATAGCCGTTGAAACACGCTTTTCCTTTTTCTACTTTTCATTTATTACTGACTCTACTGTCGTTTTTGGCTCATATTGATGCAACATATTTTATGTTTTATGTTCATATACTTTTCCACCCCGTTCTCTCGAAAAACCAACAACAATTCGCGATTCGAAGGGTTGGTCGTGATAAGTCTTTAATTTGAAATGTATGACAACCCATTTTCATTACGGTACGCTCCAAAAACCTTGACTGCTACTACTTCGGATAAAACAAATATTTATGAAATTCCAGTTTGTTTATCAAACACAAATGACTACTACTTTTCTTTTCCTACTTCATATGCACTCGACGGTTTTTTCGGCGTTCGTTTATTATAAACATGATGCGTGTATTGTATTTATTTTCATTAGAAGAAACATTCAAAAAAGGGATTTCGATGATATTTACATAACCGCGACATAGACGCGTTTCGATAGAAAATTACAAAAGAATTAAATAAACTATTGTTTAACATGTATATGCATAAAATGTTGTTTTTATGGCAATAAATATCATGAATAGAATCTTACCAGAGAATTCACCGCAAACAACACGATCATATGGGCCAATCCAGTCTGAAAACCAACAACAAAAGCATATTTAATTAAACTCGATCTATGAGAGATTGCAAAGATCTTTTAAACTTTATAAATACTCGAGAAATCACAACCGGTCGGTTGTGAATAGCCGATGAATGAGAAAAAAAACATATCATGTACCTTTATAGCCAGCATTTCCCAAGAAATTCTGATTCGGCAGTTTGTCAACCAATCCTGAAAAAATGTAACCGTTTATAATGTGCTCTCAAACAAAATGAAACACTTCTTAATCTCTATAGTTATTCGATTTTAAAAGGTGATTTTCGGCATGCATAGAAACAGACAGATACACAAAGAATGACTCGAAATTTAAGTGGAAAATGTTTATTGTTTTGATTAGACACGAAATACGACACAACATTATATTCAATTGCTAAAAATATCAAGTTTAGAAACGATAACGAAATGGAATTGAAACGTTTCCGAATGAAATCTTTGCTCCAAATTCTTTCAATTCAAACAGTCAACGTAGTTTGTGGCGATTATGTGTACAGATAGCGGCGATTCGTTTGAATCGGAAATAAATTATATAAGGCATGAAAACACTGGGCCAAAATCTCATTTTGCAGCCATGCAAGAAATATCATTGGAAAATTGCTCGGAAAGAAATTGTATCACACCTATTTTGTGCGAGAGCAATTCATTTGAAAGTGTAATAGCCTAATAACAATAAAAATATTATTTCAGTGGAGCTGGCGCGCGCACGACCAAAACAACGCGTTATCTCCTATTTGAACTGAATGAGGAAACCAAGTCAAAATATTTACACTATGTGAAATAGCCAATACCCCCTGAGTCAAAAAAAATATTAGAGAGATAGAGAGAGAGAGAGAAACGAGAAAGGCAAACAAACCAACGAATAACAACAAAAAATGAAATAAGATTGACACTACAGTAAATTTACCGGCGCGATAATAATAAAATAAATCTATATTGCCTCATTTGAATGGTTTTATACAAAAAAAAATGTACCGCGCGCACACATTCACTCACTTACAGTCATACACACGCACACAAGCGCACAAACAAATCGAGCTCACGACAACCAAAATGTCAACTAACTTTTATGGCCGCCGTACAACTGGGTGTTTAGCCACTCATTCTCTTTCTGTATACGTACTGTATACGTGCATCATCACAATAGAATGGAATTTAGACAGAACAAACGCGCATGAGACAAGATGACATGAAAACTTTTGCTGCTGTCACACGGAGACCGTGCGCTTTAGACGAACATTAGACATTAAATGACAATGACAACAAAACACAAACGCAAGAATATACTCTTCTTCTTTGTCGATTCCTTTTTACACACGATGAAAGAAAGTCACATCGAAATAACACAATGATAATGTCACTGCCTTTTTCTTCGATGTACTTTACTTGGCTTATAGACAGCCATTTCCAATGAACAATGACAAAAGAAAAGACGCATCAACGAAGAATCGAAATTGTTGGATTAAGTGTACGGTAAATTTGATCAGGGGCTTTTATACAGATTAAAATCTTCGCTATGGCTTTTACTCTCTTTATTTCTCTCTCTCGCACTCTTTTTTCTACCTTCATCTCTTGCCTTCCAAAGTTAAACTGTTCGTTTTGCTTCATAAATAGATTAGGTTTGCCGTGAGGTTCATTTTCTTTATCCAAATCGAATAAGAATACATTAAAGACGTTAATTCGCCATATTTAGATCTTTGCTTGATAATTGCTTGACTATTTCCGTTTTATTTTCAGTAAGCCACCGAAGATGAAATAGACTTCGATGATGAAATTCAAACCATTTTTTTTGAATAGACAATTTTTGAAATTCCAGCGGTAAAAAATACAAATATCGGTGGCTTTTATTGAATTGCTGTACTAGCTGGGAATGGTTAAGAGTTGAACCTTTTTTTCCACGAAACTACATTCAATTTGAGGAAAATGTTATTTCCTCGCATTCAAACCATAAAAGTCATTTTTTGCGAACAGAAAATGTTTGTAATAACATCAACATCAACGAAAAACAATTCGAAATTCAATTGAAAACATGCATTCAAATAGAATAACGTTATTTTCAGAGGTAAACTACAACAAACAATCATACCGTTTCTTGCAAAACAAGAAATCGTTTGGAAAATATTAGAAACAAAAAAAAATAATGGAAATTTTACAACAGACAACATCGCGAATAGCAACAGAATTGTAAGAATCAATCAACAATTGAAAATGATAGAGAATTTTTAAAAAGAAAATTTCTTCAAAAAAATGAAACATAAAAATTAAGAAGCAAAAAAGCAGTAAAACCGTATAATTACCACCTGTTAACGCCATCCATGGGTATCGTGGTAGGTCGGATAGAGCTGGTGTACTTCCAGCTGTTGAAGCAACGCCCGACGATGGTTGAGTGCAATTTCCTGCGAAAAATAACCCACACACACAAGATTGACAATTAAAATATTATTCATCTTTTTTTTTAACCATAAATAAATTCAATTTAAATGCCCACTATAAAATAAATCTCTTAAATCATAAAAAGAAATGTAATATTATAAAATAGGAAATGAACTTACCTAGTGAATCGCCAACGCCGCCGACAACGCCAGCGGAAGCGGCTGAAACAGCTGCTTGGTGGTAAAATTGTGCAAAGCTTGATGCACTGGGGGCCATTGATTGATAATTCATGACGGTGTCTGTATATCTGTAAAAAAAATCCCGAAAAAATGTTCGAGAGCGAAACGAAGAAAACAAAAAAATGTGAAACGAAAAAATGAAGAAAATGTGTTTTTTTTTTCATTGAAATGGTTCGTTTAAAAATTCCATTCACAAATGTTAGACAGAGATATAGAGAGAAAAGAAAAGAAAATAATAACACACCAATGAAATAGTAACAAACTAAAATGCAAATCATTAAAGCAAATAGATAAGCACATAAATTAAAATAAAATGCGAATAAAATGTTCGAGTTAATATCAATAATTCGTTTCGTAATGGCCAAATAAAAATTGTCTGGTCTTGTCAATTTCCAATCCGAAAGCAGCAGCCGATATTTTCAAACGTTTATTAAGAAATAAATAAAATAAAAGAAAATAACATCGAGCAAATATGCGATAAACTTCCGTCAATAGGTCGTCAATTGAAACGCCTAAATGCAGTTTTGGTTTTGCCGCCGGCTAATTTTTCCATATGCGATCTCTTGTGTCTCGTTGAATATTTGAACGATGTGCATTGATTTGAGTGTGGTGCATTTGCCGACGGGAAAAGTTCACATATGGATGGCATGTATCTTATAGTGTGCGTGTGTGCATTGAAAAATGTGTATTTTTTATAGTGAAAATGGGCAACAATTATTTCATTTAATAAAAAAAAAAATACAAATCGAAAAAGGCCATCGACAGTTTGAGTGAAATGTTCAGCGCAAATGATTTGCAGGTCAATTCAGATAGAAATCACAATTTTTACGCATTAATACGATCGATGAAATGAGGAAAATGTGCGCATCATATAAATGCACAAATTATCACTAAAGAAAAACATCACAAAATAAAAACAAGTTAAATTCACACGATAAAATCGGTAACATTGTTGTTTAATATAATAAAACGGTTACAATGATGATCATATCATATCAGTTGCGTGCATGCACGATTGTAATGGAATTGACATGAAAGTCGCATTAAAACCAGTCTCTTTTAATGAGGAAAGAAATAAAAATGCAGTGTCGATCATCATAACTAAGCAGCCCATTTTACATGGAATGCAAGTGTGATTCATGATCTGTATGCGGCATTTCAAAAGAGGGTTGCACCGAAACCCCATTTTTTTCGGTTTCTCTCCATTTCTTTTCGTCCATTTTCCGAATTCAACATTCGAATTTTTGAAAGAGTTAGAGCATTTCATCGGTTATGGCATCCGATCGGTTTGGTTTACAAGAAAAATCCGGAATTCTAGCGCCAAAGTATCATGTTTTTTTTTCGTTCTCAATAAACAAACAATATTAACTCAGCCCGATTGCTTCAAACAAATGATCAACCATCTAAGTAACCATTTGAACTTGTTTAAACAATAGCTATTATATTTCATGTAAAACACACAATGGAATGAGATGTTTTGGGTTCGAAAGAGTCGATCGTGTATATGAGTGTGGTTGTTATTACATGTAGGGCGATAAATAAAATAAACAAATAGAATAAAGAGACGCAGAAATATAGAGAGTAACAGATAAAGATTGAAAACTGATGAAAGAGCGCTAGAATGAGACACTTGAATTGGATTTGTTAAATACAATGTTACATTTTGATACACAATAAGCTTGACGGTAAGTACAAAAAAAAATATGTATAAAAAGGGAAGATAATTTTGCGTGTCATTAAACGTGAGAAAATGTACATGAATTAACGCTACTTTTCAACGAATCTTTCGGCATGGAAAATGAAAATGTAAATAAAAACATTCTATTCAACGATGACAAGCAAACAATGATCGCTTTTACATTATAGGACGATGCGACAAAAATGTGGTGTATATTTTTCTTTTCGTGTGTATTTTTTCGATTCTATTTACTCTCGATATATATGATTGAAAGTGCAATGTAAAGTCAGATTTTCATAATAATAATTTTTTTTTTTTCGGTGTCCGAAAATCGATTTTGCTTCACTTACCTACACGGTTTATCCTCTAAACCAGAAAAGCCTGGCATACCTGACAAACTGGTATGAGACGATGGATGATTTGAAACATATGGATACATTTTATTTGCCGTTGTTGTCGTTGATTGTGTTACCGTGGTTCCGTCTTCCGAATTTGCCGATGTTGCGGTGGCAAATGATAAATTTATGCCGTTATTGTGTGTATGATGAATTGAGTTCGTGTAAATGTTATTATTATTGTTCAAATGTAGCAATGATGCGACTGAATTCAATTGAGAACTTGTGAATGGCTGAAATTGTGAATAACTTGGTAGCATACTATCCAAAAAGGACTTTGACATTGCTTATTCAACAAAGCATTCAGTATTGTATTGAATGAACAGAATGGTCACCGTTCGGAGTTTCAATGCCGTCGGTGAAGCGCCATTGAATATCGCTCGCTCTCTATATATATCTAGTCGTAATGACTCTCAATTGCTACCGGAAACTGGCAATTTCAATAAATATTCGAAGCACTTTATTTTACACTTTTTGCCTGTTTAATCACTGGGCATCACCAAGATTTTACTTTAAAATCGCTTTGACTGACTTGAGCTCAAATCAAAAAATGGCCCACTGTCAGTTGGTTCTCTTTGGTTTTTAAGTCGACAACGTTGATTATAAAATTATTTAAAATAAAAGCAAAAATTATGTGAGTGAAGTTCTTTTTTATAAATAAAAATGAAACTCCTTTCTCTTTGACGTTCACTTAAAAACACTTGCGGTGTAGTTCATTGACACACCACTTCTTTTTGTTTCTGGCGTTTTTCCTGTTCGATTTTTTTTCTCCTTCTCTTTCAAAAGTTCGGCCCAATATTCGATATAGCCTCAATTAAATTTTATAAACTGTCTTTTTTGTACTTGTAACGTCGCACATGCACTTATGCACTTATTGCTATTGCCTTAAATTTGCAATTTATCGTTTATATAGTATAATCGCTGGCGCTAAACAGCCTGTCTGACTGATTATATATTTTGCACTGTATCGAGAGAGAAAAAAAAGAATGAATAAAAATGAATATTAAACGTCGTCACACCACGAGCAAATAATAAAAAAAAACAAAACAAAAATCATAAAATTATGTCACGCAATAATTTGAATTATTTTTTTTTTCAATTAAAATCAACACTACAAAAATGCAGAAAGCATCCGAAATGTTTGCGCAAAGATGAAACGTGTATGTTTGCGGAGAATTTCAAATGAGAATTTTTCGATTCTTTCTGCTCAACAAAAACCAAATGAATTTCAAACAAAAAATACAAAATTATTTCATTTGCTTCGATTACTTTGAATACACAAACACAACAAAAAAAACGATAGAGAAAAAAAATCAAGTTTTCTCGTCGAATTTTCTCAAGTTTTTTCCCGATTTTTTATGTCATACCGCTGGACCGCTTTTGTTTTCGATCGTATTTCTTGTCGCTTCTTGATATTTTTCTTGTTTAGACACTTTCTTATTATGTTTGTTTGTTCTCAAATCATCGCACAAAAAAAATCCATTTCACGTCGGAGATAGAACACAATTAAATGGTTTAAATTGCTTTGAAGACATTTTTCGAAATGGAGTTGAAGTTATATAGAGTTGATTCGTTTTTATTTTGTTATATTGAGTAACTGGGTGCGCGTTGCTGGTTGTGTGTTAACAGTCGTTGCCTGTTAAAGGTGCCTGCTATAAATGCTGTTATTGTGATAGTGTATTTTTATGATAGGTCGTTTTGTGTTGTTAACGCTTCGGCTGATGATAGCGCTATGTGTATGTATTTCGTACGCATAATGTTTTCAAATCAAATGGTATTTTCGTTGCCATATATAGACGACTATGTGTGTTGCGATCGAATAGTATAGCTGTCGCGCTCTTTCGTTCGCTTACAATATCCATCGCTGCTCAAACACTGCTGTGTGGCTGTGTCTATGGAAATGTAAGCGCGCGCCGCGCATTTGTTAGCCGTACATTTTTCGATTTTGAAATGGATTGTAGTGGCTCGTATTCGCATGCTTATACGTGCTGCTTTCTTTTTATTGGTATTGGTTTTTGGCTATATGGCGTGGATGTGTAGCTGCGTGTATATGCTTGAACATGTTTAACGGTGATTGTATATGTGTACGCGATACTCATGCATATATGGTGCACACAAGAAGAACATCAAGAGATGTGTGACTACATGCTCATTGGAATCGAAATAAAAATAAGACTATCGATACACACAAGAGGCTTTGATGCCTCTTTCAATATAGAGAACATCAGAATCGAAATATAGTCGTGGTGCATTGCGATACAACATATGTGTTCATGCATTAAGACAACGCATCCGTCAAAAACGTCTAAATACTCATTCTTATTAGATTTTTTTATGAAATAATTCTATCTAAAAAATGTGTTTTCTTCTTCATTTCATCTCACCCAAAGATATTTGGTTTGTTGTTATTTGTTTGGGTTTGTTTGGGAGCAAAAAGCTCATTGGCAAATTACATTACATCTTGATTTCATGTAACAAATCAATGAATTGAAAATCAACACAAGAAAGTATATTGTCTGAAAAATGATACGTGCCATTTCTTTGTTTGGGATATTTTGGACTCTTTCGGTTAAAAAAAAAAAACACAAAATCGATTCAAATTGCAGCATACACATATTTCAATGAAATAACGATTTCCCGGTCGTTGACAGATTTCTTCTGTCTGGGTATACGTTTCAAAAAGTTCACAGTGCCTTTCAGTGAGTGCGAGCTATATGCTAAAGCGATGTTTCACGGGCGCACTCTTTCTTTCTCATTCTCACTCGCTTGACTGACTTTGTAATGATCAAATTTTTTGCTTCTTCGGTTGAGAAAAAAAAAACAAATGTTGAACGTGATGGTTGTGCGTTAGACGGTTTTGAGAGCGCGTATAATAATATTTTAACAATTTAGTGTTTGTTTATTCGTTTTCATAATGGTCCAATGTGACCGAAGGATTAACGGGCCGACAATTCATTATATTATTGTCGTTTACAAGACATACTACCCGAGAGAGAGAGAACGTGTGAAAAAGAAACATACAAATCCGTTTGCGCTGATTTTGCCATGGCAAATGCAATTAACAATAAAATACAATTTGTTTATTTTATGGTTTGCGCACGTTAAGTTAATTTTTTTTTGTTTTCGCACTCTTATTTCAAATTTGCATTTATGCTTAAGCACGTGGTCTCTCGTTCTTTCATATTTAGTATCGTTAACTTTGCGAAATTGAGCCTGCGAACATTCATGATTACATTATTTATTTTTTTCTCGATAAATATTCGTTCGACAAACAACATACGGATGCGAATTCGAAACTCACTTTTTGCTCAAAATAGAAACGGATTAGAATCGAATTTGGTTTGTAACTGTCACATTTCGGTGACAAATTGACTTTGATGAAATGGAATCTAGTTAGAACATTAGCAACAACGGATTTAAAAAAAAACACAACCACGCAAAAACGAGCACTTAAATTCCACGGTTTTATTCTCGAAACGAACAAAATGCACACACACACACATCATCGACTCGATTTTCAAAGCCAACGCGCATTATTCACACATAACGATCTATCTGATTTTTTTTTGTCATTTTGATTGCATTTTTTGTTGTTTCAAAAAAGGATGTTCAATTTTAATCAATTTAAGTGTTTAATGTTACAAAAAAAATGTATTTTGCTTGTCTGTACATTGCTCTTCAAATCATTTTTATCGCATCGGCGTAGAATAGTAAAGCATATTTATTGGAGAAAAAAATCTACATCTAATAGGAATGAAAAACGAATACTAACTGAAAATGGAATAAGTGTTGATACAACAACGATCCATAAAATGAAAGCACACTATAATTTGTTTGATATATAAAAAAAAGAACCAATAAATCTAAAAACACTGGCACAGTAATAAATCAACAATAAAAAAATAGTCAACATCAACTTAAAGGGGACAGAGATTTTGTTTTTGTTTGGATATAGAGAAAATTAGACTAGAGATTTTTTTACTAAACAAAAAATTATATAGTATATTGATAATTAATATTTACTTTGTTGTGTCCTTTTTTCTTTAAACTGTCACACAATATCTTTATCTCAATCAGAATGTTTCGTTTTGTGTTATTTTTTTTTTATTTATGTTCGGTTCTTAAACGCCGCGAAAAAATGTCAAATATTCAAATTGTTCCGAAAATGCACAATATTTTTTATTGTTTGCTACTGCTGCTGCTGTTGCTGCTGATATTGAGACACACGACGATGATACGGTGTAGTATTGTGTGTATATAGTTCAAATGGAGAGAAGATAATAAAAAATTATATTATTATTTTATTTTCCTTCGCCGTTTTTTTCCCGTTCTGTGCGCGCCAGTGTTCCACCGTGTGTATTCCGTGTTCGGAGTATACGACGTTTTGTTTCGGGGTTTTTCTTCTCTCTTTCGCTGTGTAACGCTAACGTAATAATATTCCGATTGTTTCGATCGTTTTAGACTGAAGCTGTTTGCGTTATGAGAAGTAGTTCGTTTATGACCCAATACAAAAGCTTTGCCCATCAATTTTCGAGAATCGAATACATGCGTGCGCGTTTATTGTATGGGCGCGCATAATCTCTCTTTTTCACTCTCTCATTCTCTCAATGTGTATTTTTCCTCGTTGTTGTTGCCACTCACTCATCCAATCTAACCGTATATACATTAATACATGACATGTCGTCGTCGTCGCCGTTGTCGTGGCCCCGACTGAGATAGAATGAGACGAAAAAATACACACGTTCGCTGTTCGTGGGATTGAATAAGTGCGAAAGAGGCAATATGTTGTGACACGTACAAATACATCGAGAACGAAACAACGATATAATCACGAGACGGGCTAAACGAAGAAGGACGTCTATTTCTTAAAGTTGTATTCTCCGCGCATCACCAGTGATACGTCAGAATGCGAATGGGATAGAGAGAGAGAGAGGGAGAACACGAAGGAACGAGAATCATTTTGATTGTGATGAGTGCAGAAAAGTTTATGTTGTGTTTATATCATTCTTGTCACAAAAACAGACAAAAGCCTTGCTCTCACTGTGCAATGCACGGTATCATGTTGTGTATGTGTTTTATTTTTGTTGCATTTACATTGGTGTTATCTCATTCCAACCACGAGCATTCAAAATAGAATTTGAAGTTTTCTTTCGAACTAATTCTTGCTTTTCTTTTCACTCCGCACTTTGTAAGAGTCTATGCATGTGTGTGTGTGTGTGTGTAACGTAAACACATATATTTTGAATCAAGTCAGAACGTATGAAGAATACGACGGTTTTTTTCCTCTTTGTTTGCCTCGTTTGTGTATTTGGTTTTTGGTCAGTGTGTTCCAAGCAGAATGGAAGTAAGACATATATTTGGTCGTGTTTGACGCATTGGAATGCGTTGCTTTTAGAAGGAAAAGCGTAATTATGATTCTCTGCAAAAGTGCGAATGAGAAAGAAATACGGTGGAGAGCGAATTTTTTTTTGCAAATATATACAAACACAGGAACGACGGCACAGAGTACAATGGAAAAAGCAGGCATTGTAATAAAGAACGGCGCGCAGACAACATTTTCCTTGCACCAAGAGTTATTTTTAATGCCAATCAAAATTGATATTCACTGCATGGTTCATTGTATCGTGAATGTGTGTGCGTGTGTACATGTTGCAAAGAAAATACTGTTGTATCAGTCGGGAGTACACACATCACGGCGAGACGCATGGAACGCGCGCGCGATGTTCAACCTTTTGTTAATTTTTTTTTTCTTTTTTTGCAATAACAACAAAGACAACGACAATGAGTGTTGCTGGTTCGCTCTTGCTCATACATTTGTGCCACGAACACATGTACATGGAAATCGGCAAAGCACATAAAACACACAAAATCGTCGAATAGCAGCAATATAGCTGACGATATATTTATTTCACAGGCTACGGCAACCGAAATATCATATAGCATATCGTCGAAGTGAATGCGACGGAAAGGTGATGAACATACTAGTGCACACTCGCACACTTACTTCGCTCGTCGTCACCATATACACACAGTTTTGCGCGATTGTAGCTGTGCTATTTCTCTTTCCATTTCGATCGACAAATACATTTATATACACTTAATATTTGTACAAACTTAAAGTATACACACAGACAGGAATATAAGATTTAATTTGTATGGGGGATTGGATTATACCCCAAACCGTGAATAAAATAGAAATATACATACACACAGAATGGGAGATGTGGTAAAATTTCATTTTATTTGCATTTTCCGTTCTTCGTTCTTTTTTCTCTTCTCTTTATCTCCTTCTTCTTCTACTTTTCCACAAACAGCCACACTTGCCACACCATAGAGATGAATGTAATGCGCTCGCTTAAAATTCTAGACATTGAATCTCATTTGACGACGGAACCATCGTTGTCGTGATGTTTCGCATTTTCGGATTTTTTTGTTAGGTGCAAACGGATGCCATTACACATTCTTAAAGCCCTGTTTATTTTCGGGATCTTCATACCTGACGCTTTTTACTGCATCATTTTTCAATTAAATGGAAATTGTTATTGCGCAATTGTTAGATGTGCACATTTGTTGTAATCGATTTCTCTTCATCTTTTTTAGATTCTGCAATATCCTATGTGTGTGCGTATATGTTATTAACTTAATGCTATTTACAAAGAGATTTTGTTTCGCCTTGTTTGAATGTCGTTGTGGAATGAACAATGACTTTTTTAACATGAACATAAAAAAACCCTTCAAACAGGCCATTTTCCCTCTTCGATAGAATTTAAATATCATCTTCCTTTTTCTATCATTCAAAATTCATTTTAAATCGCGACAGATGTTACGCGTATCCAGTAATCTTGTTAGTGATCGCACGCACATTCATATCTAACTTTGTCCAACATATTGTTTTTTTTTTCTTACCATTTGCTGGCTTTTGATTCGTTGTACAATTGGTTGAAATGATCCTGTTGTTTAATTTTTATCTCACTCCCTACTTTTTATGTGCTTTTGCTATAACAATGAAGTAGCAATAGTAAACCAAAAAACAAAACTAAACGGTACAATAACAATACATTTGCCCATCCGCGGAACAATTATTGCTTTCACGAATATAAAATCTGCTTTTATTATTATTCAGGGAAAAGGCAATTTTCACATTTGGCTAACTTTCCTCATTCCATTCAAGATACTTTTACCGAGAGAAATAGATAGATGTAGAGCAGAATATAGACTCATCACAGAGTGACATGAGTCCAAAAACTTCTTCGTTAAATTCTTTAAAATAGATCAAAGTTTTCGTAAACCTTCTGTCAGCAGATAAAGAGACTTCAACGGATTTTGACTTTTCTGCTTTGACAGAGTGCGAAAAAGAGATAGTGTGTGTGAATTTTTTATATGCATCTTAAAAAAAATTCGTTTTAATTTTCTTGTTTGAGAATGTGATGAGTGATTTGTTTATGGTTTGGCTCTAACAATGTTTTGACCTACATGAAATAATAAAAAAAAAACTTTTCGTTCGCCATTTCCCTCTTATACACTAAACTTATGACTTATATTATGCATTTGGCAAGTTTTGTTCGTTATTATCAAGATTTCTTTGATTGATGCTTAAGCTATTGCATAACAACGACGAAATTACATCCAGAAGTTCCCTATTATTTCAACCCGAATTACAACCATAAAAACCAATGTCTTTAACCCGATTCTTCGTTCTCTGTTGTGTATTAATGTCCCAACCAGAAGACCAGAAACGAAAAACCAACCATACTGACACTTTTTCAGCAACGCTTGCGTATGCTGTTCACACATCAAAACGTTGATTGCAATTTGATGCAGCACATTTCATTTTCGGGTAATTCGTCGAAGACGACGACAACAACTACAATGAGAAAGAAAGTGCAAAAACTCTTTCGCTGTTTTGCAACATTGTTTCATACGGTGTGTGTGAGTGTTTGTGTGCGGTGGGAAAAATTTATAGCCAAAGGAGGCTTCTTACAAACAAAAAGAACAAAGGAACGAAACAAAAAAATATTGTACGAAATCAATCACGAAACACACAAACACGGGCGATAAATTCAATTGTCGAGAGATCCTTCAAATCAGATCATTGTGTTATTGAAAAAAGACTTTGACATCAAATTACCACTAATGGTTGTAATTTTTATCGACAAAACATACTTTTGATATTTATGTACACACCGAGAAAAATGTTTTTTCCTTTCTCTTTCGCTCATTGAAATGGTTGTCATCATTTTCAACGCTTCGATCCACATCAATACATTTTATGGCTTGTTTTGATGTTGTTTACATGAGACAAAGTGATTGAATGAGGAAAATAAGAATGGCACAACCATCGAGACACTTACCTGTAGTTCAAATGGCGTCATCGGCATTTTAAAAGAAATTTTCATTATCCAAGAGCTTCGATTCGTTGCATATCCATATTATTCCATTTGGGTGTCTTTTTTCGGTTTGAGTTTTCTACGGCTTCTTCAACCAAACGAGCACACATTTTAACCATATTGTAAAATTCACCTTTAAACACAATCACATCTTCTTCTTCTTCTTTCTTTTCCATCTTTTTTTCCATTTCATTCTGTAACTTTTGGTATTTGAATCATTTTTCACCATACACTTCACACAAATTACACCACTGACAAATTCACTTTCAACGGGCATATTTTTGTTGTTTTGTTTGCATCAATTATGCGTTCGACACCGTAAATTCTATTTCATTTGGGTTCACTTACAGCAACTACACATACACATCAGTAGTACTTCATTCAAATACATTGATTTAAAGAGCAAAAATTACCTGAAAAGAAAAAAGACAGATAACATTGTTAATAATCGCATATTTTATTATGTCGTTACGCACAAATCATTCGTGTGCAGGGAATTACAATTTTGATAGTTTGAAAAGTCACCGAAATCAATCGGAAAAAGGGTGTGTTTGCATGCAAAATTCAATGAAAAAATCAGAATACATATCGAAACCTATGCTAAACTCTTTCGAATACCGACGAAAATTACATGAAAATGATGAAGCGATAAAATACGAAACCACATCAAATCAAAATGGATTACATGAAACCGACTTCATTTTCAATTCGTGGTGGTTGTTTTTTTCACTCTTCTCGATGGAATAAAAGAGTAATTTTTTTCTACCTTTCATCGAATACAAACTGATATTAAATTTATATTTTATTCTTTTCAATGTGGGATTCAATGTTTGAAAAAAGCATTGAAGGTCAATACACAAAAAAAATATATGTATATAAATAAACATGCCAATGAGCGACAGAGAAATGTAAATTCTTATTTTTTTCGTAATAATAATATTATCATCATGCATGTTGGAGTTTATATATTTCGGTCGTTGAATTTTTCGAGATGAGTGTGTGTGTGTGTGTGTGTGTGGTGGCTGGATGCTGATAGAAAATCGTATCACATTTTGGGTGTAATAAAATAAATGCAGCGTAAGCGTGTCATATAGCGCACAAAGAGCGAGAATAAAATGCAAAAAAATGTGAAATATTTTCCCGTTTCGTGTACAAAAGAATGGAAGGCGAATGATAGCGATTCAATAATGTGACGAAGAGAAAAAAAACTGGAGCTTAGAGTCGTTGCCATTTGTTGGAAAATATTCAGGACGTTTTCGTTTGGAAAATCGAAAAATATTTAGAGACGCATTAAATATGCCACGAAGAGATCATAAATGGAAAAACGAAACCATTCATTGGTAAGAGCATTTTGTGTTGGCTGAGAAGCTCAGAAACGTATTTTTGATTCAGGGCGTTGTTTTGTATCGCGCGCGCCAACAAACAAGCTGTCATTCGATCTCCTTTCTTCCACTATTGCTCGTTCTGAATATATCAAACAAAAGAAAACAATCGTAAAATTTATTTTTCTCTCTCTCAGTGAAATTGTACGTTTGCCTTCAGTTTTGGGCGCTTTTATTCACACGCACCTAATAGAATGGAACCATTTTGTATACCATGAGAGAGTATACACATCTTTTTATCAGGCAAGCGAAATGATGAGAATAGATCCAAACTACATTTTACAAAATAGAATAAAAAGAACACCGTGACATCTGAAATTCCTCGATTTAAAATGCCTTGGCCGTATAGAATGCAGGAGCGTTTATCAGAGCAACAAAGAAAACGAAGAAGCATATACGAACCAACGAGAAAATTCTTAAGACTATGCACGACTGGAATAAAATAAAAGAGGCAAAACGCTCGCGCTAAACAAAATGAGATGGTATAGATATAGAAACCGAAAATAATTTTTTTTCTTTTCTCTTTACTCCTTCAGAAAATACCGAACAGACAAAACACGAATAAAAGAACTCCATTAAAATGCTATAAAAAATTTTATGACCCAACGAATCTGTTTTAATAGGATCGCGTGTATGGTATGGCTCTTATGGTCGCGTATTGGAATTCTTTTTTTTTCCTCGTTTTTCTGTTTCATTCTTTTTCCCAAAATGTGTTTTTGAAGAAAAAAAAAAACACACGAAAGAAAGATAGAGAATGTGTACTCTTTTGCACACACTTTCGGGATGTAAATGTGCACATCGTAAAACCAGAAAAAGACACGTCCAAACCAAAGAGCCAAAAATATACATACTATATAAATTTCTAGCACTGGAAATATAACAATGACGGAGCAACGTAGAAATGCGCACACCGCTCGTGTATTCAATGCCCACGAAACGATTTTTTTTTTTTTGCTAATTACACATCGACGACAATGACGATCCATCCATGCGACCATCGAAGTGGAATGCATGCGAAAAATCCCACTATCTCAACACGCCCCAGTTTCCTTTATATGTTCGCCTAGTTGAAAAACCATCCCAGTGAAAATGAACAACAAAGAAATGGATGAAAAAAAATGCAACAATAACCAAAAACATCACGTTCAATTTTCGTTTCTTTTAATTTGATTAGAAATGTGCACGACCAAATGGCTTGAAATTAAAATTATTGACTATTTACTGTAATACAATGTATGCGATGAAACACAATGTTTATTTGTGTGTTATTAAAGCCATACCAAACTACTGACACTTGAACTGTTCGTGTTTTTCCTCTCCATCAGGCTCGTTGTTCTCTCTCTCTCTCTCTCTCTCTCTCTCTCTCTCTCTCTCTCAATCTCTCGTCAATTTTCATTCATATTTTTTTCCACATGCAATACAGACATCAAATAACTTAAAAATGAGTAAATTTTATGGATGGAATCATTAGGAAGATTTATTGTTAATCAAGCGGGCAATAAAAAGTGTGCATAACCATACAATGAAATTGATTTCAGCGCATTTTTTTCTTCTTTTTTCATTCAAGTTTGCTTTGCATTCAATTGCTATTAAGTAAAGCGTTCGTTTTCAACTTGGATTTTGTAATAAAAAACAGCCACAAATGGTTTCGCTATTTAGAAAAAAAAAATAAACTAAATTCCGGTCGTTCGTCTTTTTTCTCGTTGCTCCCATTCGAAAATAAGAGAAAATTCCTTGATTTTTATTAAATGGTATAAGATCATCGTTTGAAGATGTATGAAATAGAAGAAATATTACTTCTCTTTGACTAGCATCGTCCAACAACGCCATCTATGATCAACCTGCTGAAGTTTTTGGTAAACAATGCCAATTCGCAGCTATTGTTTTCGAACTGCAGTCGGTAAGGGTTGCAAAGCACATGCACATACGCACACATACACCGAAGCACAGCCAAAAAGTACATCTCCATCGAGGGATGTATGAGGAAAAGTGAACGCAAGCACATCAAACAGTACACTTCATTGCAATGCGTGGTCGACACGGCGCGCTTTTCAAATCGTCGAACGGAATTGAAGCACACAAAAAATGCGATAGAGATACACAAATGACAATATAACCGTCATCAAGCGAGAAAGAAAAAAACATACGGATTTGATATAGATTCCGAAAAAAAACAAACCGTAACCATGATTCACCGTCACTTACGTCGGTCCGAATAATCGCCCGATAGAGACACGACTCACACACTTCTATATTCACACACAAAAAAACCATACCAAACGACAGACACTTTAATTTTATAGTCAATAAATGAACATTTATTACCACAACAAATAATAAATGTATGCCCCGAATGCGAGACACAGCACATTTTAAATGAACAGCAACAACGAGTGAAAAAAATACAACAACGAAATAATAATTCATTGCAATTAAAGTGTTTGATTACAATAATGCCTTGTAGTAACCAGAATTTTAACGGTCGGGCAAGGAAGAGTTTAGATTTTTTCGGCGATAGAATCTGTCGGGGCAAATTTGTCTTGTCTTATTCTCTTTTTTTGCTGCTTTTATTATTTATTGTAGTTTTTTATTTTGTTGATCATCATAGTATAGAAACAAATATGAAAAAAGGCGTTTTTCGAGTTTATAAATGTTTGCACATTAATGCGTTTAATCTTATGAAATTGCTTGCTTTGACATACACACACAACGTTCCCCGACGATCATCGACCGTAGATTATTTCATTATTAATTTTGTTTCTTTCTTCTCTCCCTCTCTCCCTCTCTCCCGTCGTAACGATGATGATTATAAAATTATGTGTGGCAGAAATAAAACGGCCATACAAATAATACTAAAAATGCGATGAGACAAGAAATAAAACATAAAAGTAATAAAGTGTGTAGTTGTTTAAATTGATGGATAAGAATTATTTTTTTAACGTCGTGTCTATTGACTATAACATTTTTTTCTATTGCTTATAAAGCAGTCATTTTCACACCAATTAGCATCTAATTATAAAACAACCTGAATTTATTCGGCCATTTCATCGTTAGTCATTCATGATTCCAATCACATTACCGCGTTTTTTTTAAATTGTAACACATTATCCGTCACTGATTAAAGTTTAATTTCGTTCACATCGAAAATGGATTTTGGCGCGCATTTATCTTTTCTTCTCCCTTTCAATTTTAATCGAATTCTCACTTTCGTTCGTTCAAAATGGACGTTTTTTTTTTAAACATTCTTCAATTTGACATAATATTTGTTCGTTGAGGCCGATAATTTTTCTCGTTTTGTTTCACAGCACATTTTATTTCTCATTTAGAATCTCAATTACAGCGCGGCACAAAAGCCGCTGTGTGCATTTAAATTGCTCGCTTTCGGCGATATTGTTGTGCATATTTATTAAAAGAAACAACAACAAAAAGAAGTGTAAGAAGAATCGAGACACCCAGAATGAAAAATATGAAATGAATTTGGTCGTTGGTGTGACGGGTAGCATTCGAAGTTTGAATGAATTTTCAAAGCATCTCACGTAGCAGCAATCAACATAACAAAAGCAACAACAAAGTCCTCATCGAATTCGATAATGCCATAGAAATAAGCAAAATCGAGTGAGAAGAGTAGAGACGAGACGAACGGCAAAGAAAAAAAGATATATAGCAAAATTCGCGCCAAACTAACCGTATAGAAAATGAAAAGCTGCTGATCGTTTTGTTGTTGTTATTTTATTTTGAAATAACGTAACGCATTTTGTTCATTGTTTGCTTTTAGTTCGCGCCATGGTAATCAGGAAAATGTTATTTTGCTTTGGAATTTTCGATGTGGAAGATGAATAAGAATGCGCGGCGCGCATCAACAAAATAAGTTTTTGGACGAGAAAAGACGAGAGAGAGAGAACGGGTGAGAGAAAGATGACGGGCGGTGACAAGCAGAGAATCAAACAAAAAACAAGTTTCCAATAGTGTACTCTGTGTTGCCGGAGTTTAGCAGCGATAAGATGAGAGAAAGGTGAATGTATCGTTGGATA